TCTATAATATAAATTATGACAGAGGAACTGCTGTGTCAAAGGGTATATTCATTTGTGACTAATTTTGTAAAGAACGCATTTTCTTTTCGAATGGGTAATACATGCAGATGTACAAACTTTTAAAAGAACAATTATGTATACAGTTGTTTCCTCACATTCTTTCCCACCAGCCACCACGTTCTTTTCTCTTCCCATAAGCAACCACTGTGTCCAACTTATTATTTTCCCTTATATGTGTAGGTGTGTGTAGAAAAATGTTCTTATTTGAGCCTGAAGGGTATTAGTCTGACTGCAAAAGTTCTGGGATTTGAATGGGAGAAAGGTGAAGCAGTGTCCGTTTTCATGAATGTAACCCCATAATTAACTGTGCCAGAAGTCCTGTTTTATTCTCAAGATAATGGGAGAAAGGTGTGAATGGGAAAAGAAATCCAGATCTAATTTGTTTTCAAACAGATGTTACCCAAGTCTTTACCTAAGCCCTCTACATCCATCCTCAGCACCATCACTTTCACGGCCAGTGTCTGTGCAGTCTTAAGATGTTTGTGGTTTATATACAACTAGAGGCCCAATGCACAAACTTCGTGCAAGGGGCGCGGCCCTCGCAGCCCGGCTTCATCTGGAAGGTCCTCCGGCTGCCCGGTCCAATTAGCATGTTCCGCTTTCATTATTATAGGAGACTGCTCCACAGTATTCCCGCTGCTGGTTCAGCACTCAGCTAAGATGTGCTAAGACATTTCCTTTCTAGTGCCCAGTGTTTGATTGCTTTGTTTCCTTTCCCCTTCTCACCATCCTTGTGGATTTGTCTTTTTTTTTAAAAAAAAAATATACTTTATTGATTTTTTACAGAGGAAGGGAGAGGAATAGAGTCAGAAACATCCATCAGCCGCCTCCCGCACATCCCCCAGCCGGGATGTGCCCAAAACCAAGGTACATGCCCTTGACCAGAATCGAACCCAGGACCCCTCAGGCCGCAGGCTGACGCTCTATCCACTGGGCCAGACTGTTTAGGCTGGATTTGTCCTTTTTAAAAAAAATCTCTTTACTGTAACTCTAGTGAGATTTCAGGAGGGAGTAGAGTCAGATACGTGTACTCAACCGACTATGCTAACCCAGAACGCTCCACCATTCCTCGACAACTTGGGCTTTCGCTTTCTGGAAAACTCCACTCCCTTCCAGGAGATGGACGGTCGGTCTGTTGTCCAGAACGGGAGCACGGGTTCTGGAGCACACGTCCCGGAGCACTCGGGAAACACTGCCCGGTCCCAGGACAGCCCCACCACACCCCGGTCTGGACAGGCTGGGTGACGGTGTCCGGCTCTGGGTCCCCACGGGGCGGGTGGAAAACCTCGCTCAGTTTCGGCTTCTTGGATGCAAGCGGAGCAACCACCGCCGACCTCTCCGCGAGGAGCGGGCCACCTCCGCACGCACTGCATGCAGCGTCCCCGCGGCGTCGGCGTTCACGAGAGACTTTTCTAACGCGCAGGACGGGGTCACATCTCAGGCTAAAGCATCGAACACGCCACGACCACTGCCACTCCCGGTTGGGAAAACGGGCCCCGCGGGCGCCGGCAGGTGCAGCTCAGTGGTTGGACGCGGAGCCAGGGCTGCAGGCCGACTCCCTGTGGGGGGCGGGCAGGAGGCAGCCCGCAGCTGATGTCTCTCTCATCCATGTTTCTCTCTCTCCCTCTCTGAAATCAGTAAAAATAAAACACGTAAAAAAAAAAAGAAAAAACGTGTGCTATTAAGTCAACAGCA